AATCTATTGGTTGCCTGTTAGTTGAAATGTAAATAAACTAGCAACCTGCAGGACTGTCTCTTTGCAGCATTACATTTTAAACTGGAAAAAAACCTGAATGAAAGTGGATCCTACCTGAAGCCCACTGTGGAGCTGACATGGGTGAACATGGTGGAAGTGTCTCGAGTGTGTGTGTCTGTGGGTGGCTGGATTAATAGCCGAGGATTTAGATTGGATGTAATGATGCAAAGCAGAAAGCAACGGGGGAACTCATCCACCCCACACCCCCCGCGTTGTCTTCACTGGTAATATTTGGAAATGGGAGACGGATGGTGGGGTGTGAGTGTGAAGAAGCCTCTTCATGTGTGCATATACACACACTCAGCTGTAGTGACTCATCCGGTGTCACCAACCAGCTCAGCCAGCAGGAACAGTATCACTTATTCTCACTTTGTTGTCAAAAAAAATGTTAATTAATGGCTTATTTTAACCCTCATCATTATACTTCAGTTCACATTAGCCTCTGACCACTGAGACTTGAACTTATGGGTCTGAAAATTAGACTTCCAGGACCGGAGCTGTTGGGCTGGAACACAAGCTTCTCCCGTCCTCTCATGCACACAGCGCTCCGTCTGCATGGGTCCACTGTAACTGTCATGTCACCCAGCCTCTCCTCTAATATTAGCCGGCATCTGACCTTTAATGAACACACAGCCAGAGCCCTGCTGTTGTGGGAGGTTAGCGAGGCTGTCTTACAGCAGTGTGGTCTAATGAGACGGGCCCTCTCGACACAGCCGGTGTCAGACCCTCTTCAATAACCATACAAAACCCCTACACACCTCATTAGCATCATGCTAATAAGCCACTCTGCAGAGGATGTCATGGAGAAGCTGGAGTGGAGTGGAAAGAGGGATGGCATGTTTACAGGCGTATCAAAGAATTCTTTAGCCACTGAGGAATGTGCGCTTTTCTTTTTTTCCTTGTCTGTTTGAGTGTAATCAGTATTCACTTGAGTGCCTTGTTAGCAGCAACAGGCGAGCCTTGTGCCGTCCACACCTTGTTTGTGTCTCTGGTATAGTTCATATATGCTTCAGTGACCATTAAAAACTGTGCATCAGTCGCCTTTTGTTCCTGGCAGGAATGTGTTCATAGCTCATATTCAGTATTAAAGAACTAAATCCTAGAACCAGATGTTTGCTCAGATGCTTTGGTGAGCTGGTTTTTGATTGAAAAAGTAATTTTGGACAATTCTTCCTGAAAACAAGCAAAATATTTTTAGCAGATTTCCGACGAATATTTTCTTTCTTTGTACAGGGACTAAAGGCATATCTTATCTTATCTTATCTTATCTTAAAGGCGAGGCTGCCTCTCCCGCCATTCCATTTTTATGCTAAGCTAAGCTAACTATACTCCATAGCCAACACACAGACATGAAACTGATTAATTTTATCATTTCACTCACAAAGAAAGCAGCATTACCTACATGTTGAATTATTCCTTTAACATGTGAGAACTTTTGACAGCTTTTTGGTTCATTTAAAGGTTTTGTAGAAATACATATTCATATTCCTAAAAGAAAGACCTTGTTTGGTGTCACAGCAGTGCTGGTGTGAATGTGTCTCAAATATTCAGCCCAACAAACTTTACATCCAAGCCACGTTTAGCCGGTTTGAGTCGTACTTAGTTGGAGGTTTATGCTTGTTCTGTATCTGGGTGGTTACTGGAAACACTGAACTTTTACTTTAGCATCATGTGACCATCTCCAGAGTGGTTTGGAGTCTTCAGCGCAACTTGGGGCTCATTTAAAGAAACGTTCTGAACGTTTCCACTTCTTTCGTCTGACGCCTTCCTCTTTGCTCTTCCAACCAGTCTTTACCTCGCTTCCATTCTTCTCCATCTCCCTGCTTTCCTGATTGTTCTGAACCCCCTCCATCACCACAGCATTGCTTTGTTCTTTACCGTTGGAGGGCCTTTACGTCTCCTCGCAGCTCCGCTCAGTCCTCGGTGAGAGTTTTGAGCTTGGAGGGGAGTTCGGCTGCACACTGGATCCAGAAGCAGCTCTTCTTAATTGCACTCAGTAATTCTCTCAGGGCATGCTGTGCTGAACACAGTGCAGCAAATTATTTCTGTTCTTTTTATGTGTTTGGTTTGTCAAACGTATACGGGCCGTATACTGTATTCTGTTTGTACTCAGTGAAACAACAGGTCTTTTTATTGATTTCGTGCATCCATTATTAAACTTCGATTTGCTGACTTCCTCCCAAGAGCTCAATTTTCGCTACTAACACAACATCCACTCAAATATTTACCGTTCGGAAAATGTGTGTGTGTGATGACACCTTTACAAACTCCTGCACGGCGATAATAGAGATTTATTTTTCTTGTCTAACGTGCATTCAGAAATTGGTTGAAATTGGTTCCGAAATTGGTGTGAAAAACAAAGATTTCCAGAACATCTACCGAGTCGTCTTCGTATGAAAATTGAAAGCAGGCAGCAGTAGTTGCGTTCTTCCAGTGAGGTCGGGAAGGGTTCATGAATGTCTTGAAGGAGAATTTAGTGTTTTTCAGCCTTATTTTCATATCTTGGTAAAGCAGCACTCGCCATTTCCACCATTAATACAAGCAGTGTGAGTCTCCTGAAGTTTCCCAAACAAGCTTCTCTTCTCCATAAATCATCACAAGCACATTTCTCTGAGTTTTCACAGTATGTTTGGCATTAATTAAAATCCACATCGTGGCCTTTTGAGTGTTCTGTTAATTCCAAACAGAAGAAGATAAAGAAAGTTCACTGAATCAGCAGCTTTAGCAAACTAAAAATAGATCGGTGCAACTCGCTGTTTGTCCAAAATGTTCCCAAACCGCAATGAGCAAAACAAAAAGTTGTCATTTCACAGCGTTTATTCATCGGTTCAGTCATTAAACACACTGAAGCAGGAAGCAAAGAAGAAGTTAAAAGCAGACAATTCTTCTCTCTTGTGCTCTTTTAAAGAATTTGACATGTTTAATCTCTTTTCTTGCCAAGAGTTGCATCACAAGATCGAAACCGCTTTCAAGTTGCTTTTTGTTGCGCGTTTCATACACATTGACAGTTCAAAGGGCTTTACGTGGTTTATTAGAATGTCAAAAGAAAAAGAATAATACATTCAAATTTAAAGGATTTTTCAAAAATAAATAAAAGATTTACAGATATAATGTAGACAAATATAATAATAATAATAATAATAATAATTAGTATTATTTGCAGCTACTATTGCTGTACCATGCATTCTCTCTTTTTTTTTTTTTTGGTAAAAAGGAGGATGCATGTTAAGAGATTAGCAGCATCCCCCAGAGGGTTAGCTTAGCTTAGCTTAGCTTAGCACAAAGATTGAAAACAGTGGGGAAGCTGCTCACCTACTCTGTCCGAAGATAACAGAATCCAAATAGTAACAGACATAAAATTGTCAACATTTTCCTTTCACTGACGGAGCAAGTGATGAGTCCAGCCTATGATTTTGCGACTAATTTACCAAGCAGATGCAATGTTTGGTTTTCATTTTTTAAAGACCATCCCTTTCCTGATCCTATAAGCGGAGGATTCTCAGCTACTAAAGGTTCACAGCTCCGTTTCTAAATCGTCTGTCGTTTCTTCAGGGGCCACAAACGTAAGCACGACGAAGCCAAGGAGGAGGAAGACGCCGACGACGTGGAGGAGAAGCAGGAAGGGAAGGACTCCAACGAGGAAGAGGAGGGCAGCAGCTCGGAGGCCGGCGAGATGCTGGCCGCCTTGGAGGCAGAACTCAATGACTTTATGTGAGGAAGCCGAGGGAACCGGGCAGAGACAACAAAACCCAACCCCAGTCGGCCCCACATGTGGTACCTAAAAACTTATTTTTCTGCTTTGGAACCTGTGTGTTATTAGGATGTATGAGCCATGAATGTGTGCTGTAATAAACAATGTATGTCCTGTACAGAAATGACACGTTGCTGTGTAAATAAAGGCTTAGATTGTTGTAGCATTGATATATCGCCTTTTTGGCATAAAGCGTTTGATGTTAACATTTTATTGTAAGATAACTAACTGTAGGAGACGTGAAATTTGATACTTTTTGGTTTTTCTATTTCAATTTTTATATTGATGAGAAAAAGGTGAGTGAAATCATAAACTGTAAATTTTGCTGATTGTACATGCCAAAGAGTTTGGAATAGGTTTGCCAAGGTGTGCAGCTAAAGATTTTACTCTCGACTTCCAGTTTTATTTTTTTCTTTCGTCCTCCTCGACAGGTTTTTTTAGTGTCATAAGTGCAACCAGCAGATCTAGACGTTTGAATGTGTCTCTTCCAGTCGTTTGTTCCTCCTCATCGTGTTTGTACATTTGACAACATAATAATAGGATAAGCTGTTCGGTTTTATCGTCACGTGGCTCACTTCTCCTCTCCTCGAGCCACTCCGATTGTTGATCTCACACTTAGAGAGGACACTTCTGCTCGGCCTCCGCTCACATACACTGGAGCTCGCCAAACTCTGCTTTCTTAAACGTTTATGTCAGCAAGTTTACCAAAAAAATAAATAAACAAATTTTTTCCTTCCTCCCGCTTTACCTTCTGCATTGTCTGGCCTTGCGGATTTGCAGTTTTTGATTTATGTCTATCAAATAAAATCAAAAATCACATGACCTGAAATCACATCACAGTTTATTGTTATTTTGCTGTACATAGTTTCTTCATGATCCATTGACTAAAAGCAACTAAATAAAGAATTGTGTGCACGTCAGGATCAGTTCAGCGTTCTGACAGGTCGTGGAGTGAAGCTGTTGATCAGTCTGGAGGTTCTTCCTTCAGCGTTCTGGAAACGTTCGCCTGATGGCAGCGGTTCAGAGAGTTTATGGAGAGGATGTGAGCTTCTGAGGAAGAGTTTAGTTTGTACCCACAGAGCACAAAATCCTGTATTTTTAAAAAATGAATCCAACATTTTGGGAAATATGCTGAGAGTTAAATGAGTATAAAGGAAATACTGGAAAAATGGGGGGAAAAAATCTGCTTTTCCTGGCTTCTGAAATCTGAGAATTACACACTTGTCCTCTTAACTGCTTATATGATAGTAAACTGAAAACCTCATCAGCCGTGTTCAGACAAAATATTTAAGCAATTTTAAAAGGCACCTTGACTGGTTTTTTTCCCCCTGATTTCTTTTTCTCGTTAATTAAAAATGAATGTGAGTATTCTCTGAGAACACGGTTGTAAAATACCTCGTTCTAGAGGTAGCGTGGTCTGGGGTGTATTTTCAGCAGCACAGTCACTGAATGATCATAGAAATATTAAAAGGACATCATAGGAGTCCTGCTGGCAGCCTTTATCATCATCTTCCATCGCTGCACGTTGCTACTTGTTGCTTTTAAATGACAGCCTATAGGTGTGACAGACATACAGTAGATGTGTTGGTGCACGTTATTGACAGGCGTGAGAGGATCTGCTCCCTCTGATGTGTGTGAACCAGAAGTCACAACTGAACCTATTGGCCACAATGTCTCTGTAAATTATTTATGATTTAGTCAGAATGCTGCTTTGTCGCTTTTCCCTCATGACCTGCCGCGACCCATAATAGTTTTTATTCAGCGACCCAAACCTGCCGAACCAGTGCGCTACGGGTCGACCCACCGTGGTTCAATCCTGCAAAGTGAAGATTTGATTAAATGAAATTCTAACAACTTTTTGACTTTATAATCTCAGAAAAGAGAGATTGGGGGTATTTCATATTTCAAATCTGTTACTTTTTTCTTTAATCTCAAAAAGTCTACGTTTTTTAAATTGTTTTTTTTTATAATAGCACTCCCATCACTTCCGCTGGCTCCATAACAGTAACCTTCAACAAGATGCTGCATAGTGCGGCTTTATCAGAAGAATCTTATTACTTTTGGCCCAAGCAAGGCTTTTCATTTCTCCCATCAGTCTTTGTGCTAAGCTAAACTAACGGGCTACTCGCTGACAGGTCTCTGCAAGAAAGAGAAAAAGCATATTTCCCAAAAATCTGAAGCATTCATTTAATGAAATATCTACAGGAAAATAAAGGAAACCCAGAGGCCCTGGTTCTGGACCAGCACGGCTGAACTCATTAAGTCGGATTTCATGATTGTATGGTTTAACTTTGAATTCGGTCGTTATTAATCTGTTGGAAGGTTTTATTCATTCTCTCTTCTTTTAAATCAGTTTTTATATTAGCACCATTTTTACAGCCTAACATGCACCATGACTGCAGAACATACAAACACATGGAGGAACACTGCAAACTGCACAAAACACGAGAAGAACATTTCTAGGACGCATACATCAACTTGCCTGAGATATTAGAAAATTGTTTGTTTTATTTTAAACACTGATTTACAAATTAGCAACATTAGTCACAGACCTCCCCGAAAGCTGAGCTCTGATCTTGTGTACCGCTGTTTGACTGTTTTTTTGTATTTGCTGCACATCTCTGTTTACTGCACGTGTTGTCACTTTGTGAATTAGTCATTTCTTTGTCAGTGCTGAAGAGGTTTTGTTCTGTTGCTCATGCTGTGTTTGTTTGTTAATGCTGGGTGCTGTGTTGAACTCTTTCCGCCACCAAACAGAACAAACTCTACAAAACTCCATTCCGGCCGATGATTTAACTCCCAGAAACTCCCAAACACCTCCGTGTATCAAAGTTAGAAAGAAAAGGCCGAGCTGTGACTCTGTACCGTTGCCATCTCTGTATTGCACAGATCTATGAAGCCCCTGCCTCTCTGTCTACCTTCCTCCTTCCCACTCACGGCAGCTCTAGCACACCAGCTCACCTCTTGACTCTGCTCAAACACTGTAAAACTGTTCAAGATCACATCATGGAAAGTTTTAATGTTGGAATAATTCAGCTGCACAGGTTTGAATCAGAAACCAATTCTGTAAAACAATGAAGATACAGAAAGTCCCACCCTGCACCCCCAGGATCGGCTCTGCAGGTTTAACAGCCTCTGAAGTCTGAATCTGTGTTTTTCATTAGTCCACTCAGCCATGGTGCTGACTGCATGTTTCACTCTTGGAGTGTCTTCCAGCATTTTAAAAAAACACCATATGGACATGTTAACAAGGTAAAAAATAAAACTAAAAACTTGATTTTCGCTGGCGGGGATCTTTAATAATTCATCTAGAGCAGTTTTCTCCTGAAAATGTCCTCATTAGTGGGATAATCCAAAAAATCTCTCCATCAACAATTTTTGTAAGGACTGCTGTATTTTTTATTTTTTTATTTTTCCACCTCTGTTGTTTTGGGGACAAGGCAGAAATCTCACAAACACACCCAAAAAAAAAAAAAAAACAACAGCAGCATGAGGTACAGTTCAGGTAAAATGTCCTTTTAAACTGCAAGTAGTTTGTACAATTAGAGAATGAAATTGTTCTTAATTCAACCTTGCTGACACCAGGGCTGGGAGCAGTGAGCAGATAAAGCAGCGCTCAAACTGGTGTGACTGGTAAAATGTGACTGTGTTGTTTGCACTCAACTGACATCCCATATTACACGATTTGATGCTGCACAGCCGCCATGCAAAGGTGTGGCGTGTGACTAATGGGGCGTATGTGACAGCAGGGTTGCTTACACTCACCCCTGATGTTTAACATCTGCTTTGATTCAAATCCACAGCGTTTAGTCTCTGTCTTTCCTTAACCGCTGAACTTTTGCCAGCGACAGATCTTCCTCCTTCTGCATTTAAGCTGCAGAACTAAATAATTGTAACTACTGACCTAAAGCTAGAGGGCTGACATCAGTGTGGATATCTGACCTGTAGATGTTTTTACCAATAACCAATTTACCAATCTTTTCAAAAACATGAACAATATTTTCCTTATACGGTGACATCCATCCTGTTTGTGTCGTGCTGTTTTTTTTATCATTAATTTCAATCAAACAACTGACATGTAAAGTATTTGTAAAGTCTATTTCCTACCTGACCCAGAGACAAATGATACTTTCATTAAATAAACAGTTTTACAGTAAGCAACTGAGCTTAGCGTGTTTTTCTCTCCTAAAGGAATGATAACATGATATTTTCTATTCCCCCGAACATCATCACATAATCATACCCCAGATAGAGTCCATTAGCCTTCTGCTGCCTCGTCTTTACTGTCGTTAAAACATCAGCGTCGTGATGTGTGTGTGACACCGTTAGACTCCTGCTATGACATGACACTCACTTAATGGGCTCCGTGTCATGAAAATGCTCAAACCATTACACCCGATTCCATCTTGCTGCTCTGGTTGATACATGTAGAGCAAATGTGCTGCAACCTGCAAAGAACCTCTTTTTTTTCCCCCCCTGTAATATTACACTGATACGAGCAGCCTCATTATTAGATAGCACAAGTCATCAGTTTGCAATTCTACGAGTATTCCAGGGAAACAAAGACTGAAAGGTAAAAGCATAATGTGATGTTCTCAACTGTCCCTTTGTCAGCCGTCGGCATAAGTCGACATCATGATGCCTCAGCCAGGAAAAGAAAGACACCTGTGATATTACTGTATCATCCTGTCGTTCAGTCAGACTAATGGGCGTTCAGGTGAGATGTTGATTACACAGGACACAGCAGCAGAATAAATCACAGTCATAAAGTCTATTAAAAGCGCGACTCTGCCAGCTCCGTCACGCCGCTTGATGTGTTCCTTTCCACGAACAGCTCGTGATCGGCTGCCTTAAAAGCCAAAGCAAACAGCAATAAATGGACGGCCTTTCCTCCCGGGGTAAAGGTCAGTACTTTCCTCTGGTAGGAATTTGTGGAGGGTTGTGGTCAGAAGTAGGTTTGAATGTAAATTTGTACCATTTTGCAGCTACAGCGTCGATCAGATGCAGCCAGGGAGCGCGGCCAATCATAAAAGTGATTTTACAACATTTTTTTTTTGTTGAATCAATGGAGCCTTATTAAGATAAAACAAGTGTGACCTTTGTTCCAGGCTCACAAATATGAAATGATGTTATATTTCCACTCTGGTGTGCAGCCAGGTGAACGCATTTTTATAGGCAAACAAACATTTTTGTGGGCATCGCTGAAGGACGCATCGACCGCCACGTGTTAGGAACAAATACTGGGACATCTGGGTTGTTGTCATCAGTGATCACTGCTCAGCAGCACAAACAGAAACTCAAACTTCAGCAGTGAAATACATTCTTTTCAATGGTCAAGTGAAGCAGCAATGCACTTATATAGTCTAATTATATGACTCATATTATTTCAGTTTGAGATCAGGTAGTGATTCTAATCATCTTTATCGGTTGATGTGACTGATGCATATTTATAGCCCCCAAAAAAGTCCAAATGAGCAAAAGCACTCTGAGAAACTAACAAAAATGACAACTTTATGCATACAGTGAGCAGGATGTCTTTAAATGTCATGGGGGAACCTTTAAAAGATTAAATGTTGAGTTTGACAGGTCTTCTTGACACTTAGCATTTAACGAAGCGTTTGACGACATCTAACAGCTTTTACTTGCAGAATGAAGTTCACTCCGTTTACTTGGCCCTGCACACCTGACAGCAGCTCAGCAAAGTTTATTCCCTCATTTTCTGGATTAAACCTAAAGTGATTCTAGGAACTTGTTAAAGTACCGCTCATACCTCAAGTTAGTTACCTTCTATAAACAGTGAGCTATTGACGTACCTTTTGGCTACAACTCAAGTTAAAGTTGGTGAAAAACCATTAAAGAATATAAACAGAAATATATATATCTATAAAAGATAGGGGCTGCAGGGTGGCGCAGTTGGTAGCACTGTAGCCTCGCAGCTAGAAGGTTGCTGGTTGGCGTCCCGGTGGGGACACCGGGATCTTTCTGCGTGGAGTCTCCATGTTCTCCCCAGCGTGGGTTCTCTCCGGGTTCTCCCACACAGTCCAAAAACATGTTGAGGATAATTGGTGATTCAAAATTGTCCGTAGGTGTAAATGTGAGTGTGCTTGGTTGTCTGTCTCTAAGTGTAGCCCTGTGATAGACTGGTTACCTGTCCAAGTGAACCTGCCTTCACCCTGAGTCAGCTGGGATAGAGTCCAGCCCCCCCGCGACCCTAGTGAGGATTAAGCGGTGTATAGATAAGAGAGAACCCACGCTGCACGGGGAGAACATGCAGAAAGATCCCAGGCGTCCCAACCGGGATGCAAACCGGCGACTTTCTTGCTGCGAGGCAACAGTGCTACTCACCTAGCCACCTTGCAGAAATTCAAGGCTTCAGAAGGGCTTATTGCTTAAAATGGTGCAATAATTTACTAATAGCCATCATGCTGTGTTGATGGAGACTTGAAACTATCAACTGAGACGATAAACGCACACGGAAAAAAAAATTAGACAACAAATCAAATGAAAATAAGAGTTATTTTCCAATAGACTTCTGTACAATTTCAACCAGAGGAGTCGCCCCCTAATGACTGTTGGAATAAATGCAGGTTTCATCATTGGCTTCACTTTCCAGACCCAGAGGCTTCGTCCATCCGTCTATGCCTCATCCTAAACCATTATTTAGGTTTCACTAGTAAATGACAGGATGTCTCAAACACGTAAAGAATAATGGTGCTTTGGAGGCTATTATGTGCAATATTCTGACCGGAAAGCGTTTAAAGTGATGCAAAGTATGATGTGTGATACTCTGTTATTTATCTACCTTCCTTTCATTGCTGTATTAAGTGAAGCACTGCACATATTCATATACCGCCACAGTGTTTACATTTGGCATTCAGAGTCATTAACGGTGTCAAGTTCAAAATTTGACTTACAAATTTCCAACCTAAGGGGGAAATTGAATGCAGTGTGTCGCCTCTGCACTGCCAGTAAATGAGTTAACTCTTGCAGGACAATATATGCACAGTTTGTTTCAAGAGACTTCTTCCCATCTGCAACTGTCTTATAATGATTTGCTTCTTTTTTTCCCAGAGCAGTGAATACCCTCGTAGAGCAGGATTATATAACAGTGAATGGTGCAACACAGCTAATAATAACTAATAACACATTTACCAAAATTGAACACAATGTAAAATATTTTGGAGAGATTTACTTCAGCCTGTTTGCAAAAGAGGTGATTGTGACGATTCCTTTGAAATAGTGCAGCAAAATCTCCCCGTGTTAAATGTTAAGGTATCAGGCTGCCAGGAGAGGACCATGAGATGTGTCTGAAAGCTCATGAAAACCTAGTGCTTTGAGTTAAGACTAAAAGAAGAACAAAATTGTTGCTTAATTTTGGACGAGCATCAACCTCCTGCTGTTTACAAAGACTGAATGCAGATGAGGCTGCAGGTCTCTTTCATCACGCTTTCCTCCAGACGTTCTACCCTAAAGGTTAGACGGCATAAAAAGTGTTTTCTTCTCTGGTGAGTGACAGCTGCTCCCACTTGTACCTTCCCAAGGATACACCTTCATACCTCAGATCTTACCTTTGCTGACACAAGACTTTCTCGTCCCCAAGGCGTCGCGTCTTGGATGTGATGGATAAACTATAAAGCCAAAGACTTGCTTTGGTCTGATTGACACTGGAGGTCAGGGCTCCGGTCCACCTGCAGTGACTCTGGGAGTAGTTCTGCTCGAGGTTGATAGCTTCAGAGATTTCATCGGTCTATAAAGAGCTGCACCAGTTCTCATAAATGTTGTCTTTGACATAAGAAATAGGAAGAAAGCCTCGGGATGTGCTAGCTGTTTACCTGACCTTCTGCTGGGTCCCACCTTAACAGAGGTGTCAGCTACAATGTGGTAACTGTTCTTCAGCAACACTCGGCATGCTGGGATGCTTTTTCTTTTATGGTCCCTATGACTGACGGAAGCAAGAACAAAACAAGCCATAAAAAATGTACATCCGTATGAACCAAATTAAATGACATAGTGCAGATGTCTGTACAGAAAAAAACACCAAATATTGTTGCAGTCACACGACATTTATTGAAAGCGAACACAACATGAAACAGTTCTTCTAAGTGGCTGAAAGCTGATCTTCCATTTTGCAGCATTTGGATTCAAAAAATATGTTTTAAGGTTCCACAAGTCTGCTTTATAAAGCTGTAGAACCTTAAAATAACTTCCTATTTCATATTCTTTGAAGCATTACACATTCGTCCATACTTCCTTTCTCCACCCTCCCCTCTCCTGTCCACCTTCACGATGGTCTTTGTCTTCAATCTTACTCACATCATGTAACAAATGAGGTCTTTTCTATGCAGGGACACCATTAACCCCGTCTGTTTCTGTAGCTAATGGTAGCATACATGATTGTCCATTCAGTCACTATGTGCACAATTACTTTCACTACCATTATCTACGACCTCTGGTCTCACATAGAAGCACTACACTTATTGTGTTGCATGAGTTTGTGAATTAGTTTGTACCAAAGGTAAACTGAATTCATATGACAGTACATCATAATACAGTGAAACACATTTTGCAAAGTAGATAAGTAGTACTGTTACTGTGGATGTGTTGAAGTCTATGACATGTACACAGTCACCATGGATAACATGTGAGTAGCTCATTGTCCTCATCATCACCATCATTACCAGGGTCATCATGATAATTATGTGTCATTGTCATTCCAGGATGTAAAGAAAATGTACCTATGAACCACTAAGAACCTCTGCAAAAGCTCCCATAGCTCTGTAGTTCAGTTAAAACTTCTTCATCTATCTGCTTCTAAGTTCTCACAAACCTGAGGTTCTTGTATTTGACCAGAAACACACCAGCTAACCATATCATTACTCTGGAGGGCATTGGCTTGGTTTCCACCACTTCTGTGTGGAACCTTGGAGTTACATCTGATTCAAATACGTCTGTTATCTCACAAATAAAAGCATTTTTTAGGGCACATGCACAATGTCATTAAAATCAGAAACATCATGTCTCAGAGTGATGCTGAATAACGAGTCCATGAATCTGTCGGCTGAACTATTGTAACTATTGTAGCTGTAACTCTGTATTATCAGGATTCCCAATTAATTCTCTTAAAGCTTTCAGCTGAAGTTGCAGCCAGCGTTCTGAC